AGGCTGACAGCAAAGCCCCAGGATATGCCCACTACCGCCTCCTCACTGAGGCAGGTCCTCAGTTTATATGATAAGATCTTTACCAATTGTGATAATTAGTTTGTCAACTTGACACAGTCTAGAATCAACAAGAAAGACAGTGTCAATGAGGGATTGCCTAGATCAGATTTACTTGTGTCTATGAGGAATCATCGTGAGCATATTAGTTGATACAAGGAAACTCAGCCCACTGTGGGTGACACCATTCCCTAGGGAAAGGGTCCCAAATGATGTAAGAATAGAGAAATGGAGCTGAGCACAAGCAAGTAAGCAAGCAGGTGGCATGCGTGTAACCATTCTCTCTGCTCTTGACGGGATGTGTTGTGGCTAATTGTTTTATTACGTTGACTTCCATAAAATGATGGGCTGTAACTTGGAAATATGAGCTATGGTAAGCTGACTTCTGTCAGGGTATTTTATCGGAACAATTGAAGTCAGTATCTGTCCAGTGGAATTTCAGAGTTGCCATGGACCAGAGACTGCTCTGCCCTCCCACTCCTTCCTCTTCCTCTTCTAAGGAGTACGTTTGTTGTGGTTATAGTGTTCTTGTTTCACCACTGTGTGGGACCGTATGGAGGATGGAGGGAGGTGGTGGACAACTTACCTTTTTTATTCACAGATCTTGGAACCCAGTTGAACCACATCTAGACATTCTGTGGAGCAAGAGAACCCAGACATTGAGATTTGAGTCTGAGACTTTCAAGAGTCCTGGGACTGGGTGATGTGAGAAACAATGAGCCCTACTTCAGAATAAGAGTACTGGGATTTGGCAGGGCAGTGTTGGCGCAGGCCTTTAATTCCAGCACTCGGGAGGCAGAGGCAGAGGCAGGTGGATCTCTGTGAGTTTGAGACCAGCCTGGTCTACTAGTTCCAGGACAGGCTCCAAAGCTACAAAGAAACCCTGTCTCAAAAAACCAATAAATAAATAAATAAATAAATAAATAAATAAATAAATAAATAAATAGTGCTAGGAGTCAGAGGGCCAGTGTGAGGCCATTTATTTCACACCCTTCCACAAAAACATCAGCCTGGAGAAACGGCAACGATAACCAGCATGCTGATTTGGTGCAGAACAATTAGGTTGTTACATTCCTAATTGCATTTCTCTGCCTGCTGAATCCCTCATTGACTAAGCTCTTTAGGAAGGAACAACCTTCCCATTGTCAAGTACTGACCCCTCTCCAGATCCCCCTTTCTATTGATACAGGATGCAAAGCCTATTCTAATGTACATCCCGGGGCTCAAGATTCCCTCCTTTTCTGATATGTGGGCTCAGTAACACAGCAGACTGCCTGTGACTTTTAAACCCTAGGATGAACTGAACTCACCTGGACAAGCAGGCACAAGAGGCCAGCTATGGAGGACAGGGGCTTGGTGCCTTCTCTTTACCTGTGATGCTCTGAAGCACTGTAAATCACCTCATCCAGAACACAGGCCATAATGATTTACTTCGTACACGGAGGAGAAACTCACGTAGATAGAACATAGAAGTTTGGGGTCAACTGATACATTGCTCTCAATACTTAATACTGTCAGGTACATCTTGGGAGTCAAATCTTTGAGGATGATAACTCCAAAATTTACCAAAATTCCATATATGATTATTGTAGGACAATAAAATGAGATTCTCCCATGCTCTTGGTGTAATGGTCTATCCTGTCCCTTTAAGAGACAAGCCTTACCCACTCCTTCCCCGTCCACAGAGGCAAGCTGTCTCTTTCTTGAAGAGGCAGCTTCTGTCTCTCCCTTCTCCCAATTTCTCCCCTTACCCCCTCTGTCTCTTTGTCTCTGTCTCTCTCTCTGTTCTTCCCCCTTCTCTCCTTCCCTTCCATAACCCACTAAATAAATATTCAACTTCACTCTGCATGTTGTGCCTATCTGTCTTGGTCTCTCACCTGCCACACGACTTCCTGCCTGGGACCTGCTGCCCTCGAGGCCTGCCATGGTCTCACTGCCCACTGTCTGAGGCCCCTCGGGGACCTGTGTCGTGGTCTTATGGCCCACTGCCCACTGCCGCCACTAGGGGACCTGCAGCATTTTAATTAAAACATTATACTTTGTGTGTCTTGCTTTCTTCCCAAGTGCTTCTCCCTCTCCTCTCCTCTCCTCTCCTCTCCTCTCCTCTCCTCTCCTCTCCTCTCCTCTCCTCTCCTCTCCTCTCCTCTTCTCTCTCTCTCTCTCTCTCTCTCTCTCATTTTGTTTTTCGAGACAGGGTTTCTCTGTAGCTTTGGAGCCTGTCCTGGAACTCGCTCACAGTAGACCAGGCTGGCCTTGAATCACAGAGATCTATCTGCCTGATCCGCCTGACTCTACCTCCTGAGTGCTGGGATTAAAGGCATGCTCCACCACCACCCATTGCCTCTCTATATCTTAAGTCTGTCTTTTAAATATTTTTAATAATCTACTCTGGGACCAGTGAGATGACTCATCAGGTAAAGCCACCAAACCTGATGACCTAAGTTCAATCCCTGGGACCCACACGGCAGGAGAGAACCAGCTCTCATTAAGTTGTCCTCGACCTCTACCCCCACACCATGGCTCACACACCCATACAATGCAATAAATAATGTAATGTTAAACGGAAAAACACCTTTTTAATCAGGTTCAAGAATAAATGTTCAGCGCCTCCTAGAATTCCCACAGGGAATATTAGGTCAAACAAACACTTTGTTTAGGTAGCAGGTGTGGTTTCTTGAACTGTGAGAAGGTAGACTGTCCTCTGTTGGAAGAGATGACTCAGACTTGCCCCAGACCATCTTGGTCATCTCATGATTAGCTGTTGGTAGTGCATCAGGCATAGACATGTGATCAACTTCTTGCCACAAGTAAACAGAAGTAAATAGAAGTGAAATAAACACATAGAAGTCACAGCAGGAGAATTCAGGGAAAGTATCTTTTAGTGTCCAGTTGAATATACTCCTAAGTGATTCACCACCTGAATTTTCTTCCCAGCTCCAAGCACACCTCAAGCCGGGAAGTTCAGGCATCATTAAACACATATAAAATGACAAGGACTAAGGCAGGCAGGCAAAGCAAGGAGACTGAGACAGAGACTGGCTTTCATAGGACAGTGTGCCCCAATTCTTGACTGCCTTACTGTCAGATGTGTTGGGATTTGTTTTGTTTTGCTTTTTGAGACATTCAGGCTGGCCAAGAACAACCTATGTAGCCCAACTTGGCCTCATATTCAAGCTTATCCTGAGGCATCCATCTATCTCTTCAGTTCCAATTTTTTGTTATGCATGTGTATTAGTATGTGTGTTTGTGTCTATGTGGATATATGGACGTATATATGGACATCATGGAGGTCAAAGGTGTCATTTTCAGAAATGTCATCTTATTCCTTTTTTTTTGTTTTTGTGTCGAAGACCAGCTTTGACAAAACTCATACGATTCAGGGTAGGGAGCATGAAGATTAGAATAATTAGGCAAAAGGAACAGAGATATAGCAGAAATAACAGACAGAAACACAGGACAGCATCGGGAGGGACACTCATTGAACACTGAATCCACCTTAGCTATTCGTCCACACGCTTAAACACTTCACTCCAAAAGGGGAGAGGGAGGGGGACGGGCAGCGGACTTCATTAGTGTGACACAAAAAATGGACAGCTCCCCAACCGTTGGTCCAGATGGAGCAGCTCTACTTTAACACTCAACATACTAATTAACCACAGCCTAGACCAGAATCTCGCATTTGTAGCCACACCTGTCATAGCGCAAAAGTTCATACTCTCTGACTTCAAAGTGGAATGGACTCACATCTGTGTACGCCTGGACAATTTTGTTTTCGAGACAGAGTTCCTCTGTGCAGCCCTGGCTGCTCTGGAATTTATCTGCCTCCCACGAGCTAGGATTAAGGACTGTGACATCACAGGCCGCCACTGTTCTGAAACGCACTGATCCCTTCCTCCAAGACACTGGGATTGCAATCCTGTCACCACACCGGCGATTTCTACATGTTTCTGGGGACTGAACTCAGGTCCTCATGTTGGCGATGCTTTGCAAAGATTTTACCCACAGAGTCATTCCCACAACTCCTACCCCCACCCCCTTTGTTTTTTTCTCTAGCAAGATGTTCTGCACCTGTTCCCAGTTCTGTGTTTCAGTATTTGTTTTCTTTGGTTATGTTTCTCAGAATTTCTTTTCAAAATTGTTTTGTTTGTATTAGTGTTTTGCCTGCATACAGGTCTGTGTGCTGTTTGCCTGCCTGGTGCCAGCCGAGGCCAGAAAAGGACAACAGATACCGTAGAGCTGGAGTTACTAAGGCTGTGAGCCACCGTGTGGGGGCTGGGAATTGAACCCAGGTCCTCAGAAAGAGCAGCCAGTGCTCTTAATCACTGAGCCATCTCTCCAGAGCGCCCCAGAATTTCCTTGTATAATTCTCTTGTAAAGTCCCAGCCTCCTCTTTGAATACTCTCAGGTTCTAGACCCCAAGAAGTGAGCGCACCGCTGGGAAACTGGAAGCTCGGACCTAAGACCACTGAGAGTATGCACCCTACACCAACTGTGGGGACTATGGGGACACATCCTTGCAATCCCGATACTCAAGCGGTGCAGGAATGAGTGAAGTTGAGGCCAACCCGAGCTACAGAATGAGTTCAAAGCCAGCCTGAATTGGGGGGAGGGGGGGGTGAGCGCTCACTTGCCATAGTGTGCCTGTGAAGGTTAGCGGACGACAAGCGAGAGTCAGTTCTTTCACGATGTGTGTTCCAAGGACAGAACCCTGGCCATCAGGCCTTTACCCGCTAATGGCTCGCAGTTCAAAAGAGTTTCGAACTCGAAATTAGCTAACTCTTCTAGACCTGTCACTGCGTCCCTAAACGTGACCTGGGCTAGATCCTATTGCGCAGGCGTCAGCCGCCTCGGCGTGCTCTACTGAAGACCCGCCCCGAAGGGGCTCCTAGAGCATGCGCACACCACAGCGTCGCTGCCGCGCCTCCGGAAGCACTGGCAGTTTCGGGGGCGGGACCGGGAAGCGTTTCCGGGGGGCGGGAGGCTCCGGCGGAAACTGTCCCCGCGGTGGCGGCGGAGACTAAGGCCTTGGTGCGGTCGGTTTGGACGCTCCAGTAGGCTGGAGCTGCGAGCGCGGAGCCCTCGGCAGGTACGGCGGGGTGGGAAGGCTGGCGGCTGCGCGGGAGGTCACGGTCGGGGTCACGAGCGTCGGGGACGCCGGTGTTCACCGCGGGCTCTCCCCGACGGCCGCGACGCGGGACGACGCGGGCCACTTCGCAGCCCCGGGAGTCCCGGCTCAGAGTCCCGAGGCCTCCGGGGCCACCCGGACGACTTCGTGTCCAAGGTCACCCCGCGGCAGGTGCACGAGCGCTTGGAGGATCCGCCCGCGGGGCGACCTCAGGGTCGAGCCACCCACGCGCGCGCGAGCCGACACCGTCGGGGAGAACCTCGCCGCTCTGGGTTTCGTTTCTTTGTCACTCCGTTGTCACCTGTTTTTGTCCCCAACCTGGCTTCTTGTCAGCTGGACTTTCTCTCCACTTCGAACGTCTAGAGCTGACAGTCTCCGGACCTTGTCGCTTTCTCTGTCTTCACCTCGCTTCGGTGTTTCTTGACACTGCTTCTGCCCCTCAGACCGTCCTCTGGGTCAGGGCCCGGATGTCACACTGGCTCCTTGACCATTTGTGTGTTTTTCTCGCTTTGCCAATGTCGTGTTCTTGTTTCTTTCCCTCCCAACTGGGTTTGTTTAGGCAGGGCGGGCCCTGCCTGGACCTCTGAGCCATGGAAGGTGACTCATGACCCCGTGAAACTCGCCCGCCTGGGCGCTGCTCAGTGGCCCGACCACAGTCTGGCCTCAGTTCTGACAGGTGACACCCGGAGCTCCTGGCCCATTTCAGGGTTTAGGCAACCAGTGTATCCTGAACTTCTCTTCCATGTGTTCTGTACAGCTCTCCGCTGTTATTTGCTCTTTCCAGGAATCCCAGATGGCTGTCACGAACTGCCGCACTTTAACCAGGTCAGCGTATCTGTACTCAGAAAGGACCAGGTTGACATCTGCCTTTGAGACCCTTAGCACGGTAGTGGAATTTCTAAGGGCAGCTTAGGGAAGAATTTAGAACCTAAGGGGGGTTCATTTCCTGCTTGTTTCCAAAGGTCCGTCGGAGAGAAGCGAGAAGTGAGGACAAATACAGTTTAAAACTTTTGCAGTGGACTGTCTGGAACAGACAGGACATGAAACAATTGATCAGGTAGCGTGTTGATCAATGTGCACAAAGTGTCAGGAGATAGCAAGAACGTTCTAGAAATGGATTGTATAGAACTGTGTGAATGATGTAGTGTCAGCATGACTTCGCAAAGCAGTTCCAGGGGTGAGTTTTGCCCTGTGTTTATGCTACATCCACACAGCAAAAGGTGCTCTGGAGACCTCTGAAGCTGCTGTACGCACTTCTACAGTGCAGTTTAGAAGCTTGGTTTGGAACTTTTAGTTGAATCCCTTTTGTTGATGTAAACTCTTAACAGCAGCAGGTTCAGCAAAAGGCTTAGAAAAGGAGTCTGGGACCTTAAATTGTTTTAAATCTGCTGGCCCAGTTTTACCTATCTCCCCTCCTTTCCCCCTTGGAATAAATGCAGAAATTTACCCTAAAGGCAACTTGAGAAACACTTTGTCTCTGACTTGCTGAGAACTTGTGAGGCTGAAAGAATACTCCTTTATTAGAGTAAAAAATGGTCTGTTAGCCAGGCGGCTGTGGCGCACACCTTCAATCCCAGCACTGGGGAAGCAGAGGCAGGTGGATCTCTGTGAGTTTGAGGCCAGCCTGGTCTATAAGAGCTAGATCCAGGACAGGCTCCAAAGCCACAGAGAAGCCCTGTCTTGAAAAAAAAAGAAAGAAAATGGTCTGTTATTTCTTCATAGGCTATCCTTTGTTTTTGTTTTTTATGTTTTATAAAAATCTTGCCTGCCTTTAAATTCATTTTCAAATTTTTGTTTTGGGGAATTTTGTTGTTTTGGTTTTTTGTTTGTTTTTTATGATTTTGCTTTTTTGAGACTAGGTTTCTCTGTGTCCTGGCTGTCCTGGAACTCACTTTGTAAAATTGATTGGCCTCAAACTCACAGAGATCCTCCTGCCTCTGTCTCCCGAGTGCTGGGATTACAGATGTGCACCACCACCTCCTGGCTTTGACTTTTAAGTTTTTGAGGTTTAAAGAACAAAATCTATGCACACTCTAGTGCTCTTATTAAAGGAAAAACATAAGCAAATATATATCGATTAAAGTACCCAGTAAACAACCCTGCAGTGGTGGCGCAGGCCTTTAATCCCAGCAGTTGGGAAGCAGAGGCAGGCAGATCTCTGTGAGTTCGAGGCTAGCCTGGTCTACAAGAGCTAGTTCCAGGACAGGCTCCAAAGCTACAGAGAAACCCTGTCTTCAAAACAAAACAAGTACTCAGTAAACTTGTAACAACTATGGGCAGTGGTGGCGCATGCTTTTAATTGGAGCACTCCGGAGGCAGAGACAGCCTCTGTTTAAGGATCTCTCTGTTTGAGGTCAACCTGTCTACTATAGAGGGAGTTCCAGGACAGCCAGGGCTGCACAGAAACCCTGTCTTGACAAACAACTAAAACCTTGTTAACAACATTCTGTGTCCCACTCATCTGAGTACTTAGAATTGTATCCATGGTTCTTCTACACGGAGTAATAGTTTGTGTCGTCAGAAACATTAATCTTCCCAAGAGTGCTTTAGCCATTACTTCAGTAACCATGGGTGTTAACTGCAATGTATGAGCTGGGTGGTAGTGGCGCATGTCTTTATCCTAGCTCTTGGGAAGCAGAGGCTTGTGGGTCGCTATGAGTTTGAGGACAGCCAGGACTACATATCTCAAAATGAAAAACCCTGCAACATATATACTATCTGTTGTAGCCGAGAGAAGCTTGGAACTCCCCGTGTGATGACCTTCAGCTCCTGGTCCTCCTGTTTCCATCACTCATGAGTTAGATTTCCTGCGTGCCAGGCTGCCACACCCAGCTGACGGTCTAAATGTAAAGAAATGGATGCTTCTGTTGGACTGCTTATCTGATCCAATTAGCTCACCAAAACCCTCAGAATGTATCTCAAGATCTTACTGACTTAGACAACAAGCTGCCTCAGATTTCTTTCCTAGCAGAACTTCCTCCCAGAGGTGTGACTTGTGTCACTAACAATAAACTGAGGAAAGTAATTGTCCTTCTACTCCGCAGCTTTAAAGGCAGTAGAACCTGATCCAGCCCAGGAGACCACTCTGACCCAGTATTGGGGTTTGCTAGGAAAAGGGCAACAAACAGGTGGGGCTGCCAGAAAAACAGAATAATTCCTCAGTAGAAAATGGAGTAAGATGGAGAGAAAGCAGTAACAAGGAGAAAGGTCCCAGCAAGCAACCCATTTCAGAGGACCCTTCTCTGAGATCGCCACACCATTATGAATGGTTTGAAGATCAAGGGGGACACTGAGGCAGACTTCTTTGGGGGTAAGGAATGTTCTAGAAAAAGGAGTAACACCATGGATAACGGCCATCAGTATGGCAGGGTCTGATGAGAGAGAGCTTGGGCCTCTGTGGCAGAATGGGGGTCCCATAGGTGTTTTAGAGGAGAGGGGGAGGGCAGTAGATGTTCTCTTTGGCTCTGCAGTGAGTGAGTGCTGCTAGTAGCAGATGAGTAGTCAGATATAACTAAGACTCTTGGGTGATCATAAACTTCTTTCCTGCTGGCCATTCCTGGGGTTGACCAGACAGGAAGGCAAGAATCTATAGAAACACATTGACTGAGTTCAGGAGGGAAAATTATAGTTGTTACAGGAATTGTCACGGTCAGCCAAGGTGGAGGAGCTGTACAAAATGTCCCTGGCCCTGCCTAACATTGACAACCTGGCTTGGCTTTGATAAATTTGACGCCTGGATTCCCCAGCAGCCATGTGACGGAAGGAGAGGACGGACTCCTGCAAGTTGTCTTCTGACCTCCGTGTGTGCTGTGTGCCTTTGTACAACACAGAAAAACAAGTTAAAATGTAATAAAATTTTATTTTAAGATGCCACAGGAACAGAAGCCAAGGTTTTCCATAGGACCCAGCCACAACAAGCTCAAGAGAGGTCTGGGTCTCAGCAGTTTACCCTGAGGCAATACCTGGTTCCAAGAAAGACCACAAACTGAGACTACCCAGGTACCACCCAGGAACAGACCATCCAAAGGAAATTCCTGACGTTCCAGCCATTGGTTGTAGAAAGGATCATCTGCCAGCACACACTCATCACTTTTCACTAGGACACCCCTAGACAAATGTCAGCCAATCAGGGGTCCTGAACCTTAGAAATCCCTCACTGCTACTATAAAAACCCAGCTCTGAGCTCAGGGCTCTCCAATCTTTCCCAAACGTGTGATCGGAGAGCCCAAGTTTGCAAACTTGTGTAAGAATAAAAGGTCAGGCTGGGCGGTGGTGGCACACAGCACACCTTTAATCCCAGCACTCGTGAGGCAGAGGCAGGCGGATCTCTGTGAGTTCGAGGCCAGCCTGGTCTACAAGAGCTAGTTCCAGGACAGGCTCCAAAGCTACAGAGAAACCCTGTCTCAAAAAACCAAAGAAGAAAAAAATAAAAACAAAGGGTCTTGGCTTTTACGTACAGGACTCGGTCTCCTAGTTGCTTTTGGGGGGATTCTGTGATCTGGGCATAACACTTCTAGAATGAAAGTTAATAACTAAAACTTTTGTTTGGAAGGAGTCTTGCTGTGTAGCTCAGACTGGCCCTTAACTCACTCTGAAAGCCTGTGTTGAGCCCTTCAGTTCTGGGATTACAAGTGGGCTAGACAGCAGCAGTCTTGTTGTGTTGTGTTGTGTTATGTTTGTGTTTTGAGATAGGATTTCTCTGTGCAATAGCCCTGGCTGTCTTGGAACTCACTCTAGACCAGGCTGGCCTCGAACTCACAGAGATCTGCCTGCCTCTGAGTGCTGGAGTTAAAGGTGTACGGCACCACCGCCCAGCTGCAGTGCTAATGAGCTTCTCTGTCTGCTCCTCACACACGCTGTTCATCAGGGAAGCACATGTACACAGACTGGCACAGGCATCCTAAATTATTTTTCTGCTTTTATAAGATTATTCTTATTTGCATGTGTGTGCTCAAGTGTCATGTGTATCAGGTACCTGCGGAGGCCAGGAGAGATAATTGCATCCACCTGAAGCTGGAGGTACAGGCAGTTGTGAGTGGGTGCCAGGAACTGAACTCAGATCCTCTGAAAGAACAGCAGGAACTCTTAACCCAGCATTTTAAATTTTGAATATGGTTTTTCCTTTCAGAAATCAGTGTGATTTAATTTAAAACAAAATTGAGAAATGCATTTTCTTTTTCTGTTCATTCAGATTGCTCTTTAATGGCCATGGCATAAGGAACAGTATCACCAGGAAGATAGCTTTGCACTGGGTAAGCTATAAATGTACTAATAATGTAATTTTGAAAAAACTGTTTACTGTTAAATTTCCTGTCAGCAAAAACAATATAGTTTGTCAAGTTTTGTTTCTTGTTTTATTTAAGGTTTTATTTATTTATATATGTGGATGGATGGTTTGCCCTTATGTATGTCTGGTGCTCAGAGAAGCCAGAAGAGGGCATCGGATCCCCTTTGGACTGGAGATGGTTGAGAGTTGCCATATTGGTGCTAGGAGTCAAATCTGGGTCCTCTGCTCTCCAACCCCTTGTCAAGGTTATAAATGGGCTAGGTCAGATGATTCCTCTTAAAAAGAAATACTGCACATTTTAAGGCTAGTCACTGTAGTAATTCCCAATAATAATTTAATTTCATAGAGGAATTTCTGCCACATGATCATTTTTACTTGGAAAAGTATTAGAGTTGGAGTTAAACTTCTGAGGCTGGCCACTTGCGGAGCTGTATGGCCTGAGGAGGTCTTGTCCTGTGAGCTTGGGAGCTTCTCTTTACTCTCTGAACTGAGGAAGCTGTGCAGAGCTCTGCAAGGTTCAGTACAGGCTGCATTTTGTGGGTGCAAAGCATTTGACTAACAAGAGTTTTGGTTGACATGGGGTGTTGGTAGTTTTCTACATTTGTGCCAGATTTTAAATTTCCTAAAGCAGCATTTACTGTTCTTACATGTGCCTTCTGCCGTGAGCATGCAAGTCACCATATGCTCTGATTAAAGACTTCACTGGAGGCTTCAGGACAGGGGCTGGTTGGTCTGCCTCCCTGTTTTGTCACTGTCTATGCTTTGAGGGTGTTTAGTTCCTGCTAAAATGGTGTTTAAGATTTCATGTACAATTTTCTCAGCTGAAGATTAAACAGTGGCCACTGCTCAGCTCTTCAGCATGGGAGGGATGTTAGAAGCATTCTATTTCAGGGAGTCTTCAATAGAAGGCTCTTGGCCTTCTGCTTTATTTTGATTTTATTTTTAATTTTCATCCCTTTTATTTACTTTGTATGTGTGTGGACCTATACCTGCAACATGTGGAGGTCAGAGGACAACTTGGGAAAGCCAAGTTCTCTCCGTCCACCATGTGGATCTTAGGAATTGAACTCAGGTTTTAGGCTTGGCAGCAGGCCCCATTACCCACTGAGCCCTATCTTCTCCTTTAAAAAGCCATTAAACAGGTGAGCGATAATGGCAGGGGCCTTTAAAGCCAGCAGCCCAGAGGCAGGTGGATCTCTGAGTTCCAGGACAGCCTGATCTACAGAGTGAGTTCCAGGACAGCTAGGGCTACATAGAGAAACCCTGTCTGAAAAAAAAAAAAAAGAGAGAGCCATATAGCTTCAATGAATGATGAAGGGAATGAGCTGGGATTGGTGTAATTGTTTTAGAAGACCATTGCTATTGGAGTTTTAAAATTCTGTGCAAGGTGACTTAAAATTGCTGGTTTAAGTCTAAGGTTGACAAATGCTCTGAAGTTTATTAATGAATTGCTCATAATCTAAATTATGGATTACTTAATTTAGCTAGTGTGATGGCACATGCCTATAATCCCATCATTCAAGAGGCAGGAGAGTTGCCCCAAGTTTAAAGCTAGGCTAAGCAATGTACTGAGGCTTGTTTCAAAAGAAGGATTATTTAGGTTATTTGTGAAACATGCTCGTGTTTACCCTCTTTCCTGACCTGCTGCCCCCCGCCTCTCAGACTCGCATTGGCCTGAACATGTGCTTTGGGCTTAAATCTCTCACTCCCTAGACAGCCTTGGGCAAACAAGTGTGTCCCCTTGGTCTTGTCACAATAACTTTCAAGTGTTGTAAGCACAGCGAATGAGGTAGAGAACATGAAGTGCTGTATGCAGTCCCCGTGTCTCTGGAGTCTGCGTCCACTGAGTCACCCTTCACAGATGGGAAATGTTTAGAAAGGGCCGGAGAGATGGCTCAGGGATTAAGAACACGTACTTCTCTTGCAGAGAAGAGTTCAGTCCCCCAGCACCCACATTGCATAGTTCCCAGCTGCCTGTTAATCCGGCTCCTGGAATCAAGTGTCAGTTTCTGGCCTACAGAACACCTGTGCTCACATGCATAAGCCCACGAAAGACACACATACATATGTAGTTAAAAATACAGTAAAGTGCCTGTCGGTGGTGGCTCACGCCTTTAATCCCAGGACTCGGGAGGCAGAGGCAGGTGAATCTCTTGAGTTCGAGAACAGCCAGGGTTACACAGAGAAACCTTGTCTTGAAAAACAAAATTAGGGTAAATCTTTTTAAAAATATGGCAACAGTATTGCTCAAGTGGAGATATTCTTGCCCTCCCCTAAGCAGTGCAGTCTGACACTGTTCACCAGCATGTCAGGGGTTATGAGTGGTCTTAAGATCTTAAAATATTTTTGAAGACTTGAGTAGGTGGTATTGTAAATACTCAGTTTTCTTCAGATGACTTGAGCATCCCCAGAGTTTTGAAGTTGGAGGGATAGTCCAAGAACCAATCCCCAAGATACTGTGAGACAGTTGTGTTTGTATACATCCTTATATATGTATTGTTTATATGTTGATAAACAGCTGCTGTTCTATTAATAATGACATTTTCCTGGTTACCCAGTGTTGCATTAACTTTTCCTAGGGAGATGCGAGCAAACGAGTATTCATCCCAGATAGGGCACCAAGGACAGAACAGAGTACGATTCCACCAAAGTCCAACTTGGCGAACCAGTGAGTTTATTGGGCTTGCTTACAGAGCGTGGGTGAGGGGTACTTAGAGGACCACGGGCAGGTTCCATCCCCCCATGGAAGCTGCATTATGGAGTCTCCTATCAATTGACCTCTCACCTCATTTAGTTCACTTGGAGAGTTGGGAGCATGAGGAGATTGATGGTCTTAGACCCCCCCCCCCAGTCATGTTCTCGAGAAAATCAACAGCTCTTTTATAGTCCTGTTTGTCATTGTTCTTTTGTTTATTGGTAGCCATAGCTATGTGGCCAAGGTATTTCTTGCTCCAAAATGGGATTATGTTCTGCCTGGAGGTAAAACCCACAGACATTCACAGTTTGCATTGGCAATTGGGCATGGTGGCCTGCATCTGTTATATCAGCCCTCGGGATGCTGAAGTGGGAGAATGGAGACTGAGGCTTCCTAGGCTATGTAGCTAGACCCATCTCAAAAAAAAAAATAGACATTGGTACCTCGTTTTACCTTGTATTACTCTGTAAAATGAAATGAAAACAATTCATGGGCTGAAATGAAGCCCTGAAGATGCTTGGCTATCATGTGTGAAGCCCTGGACTTAGGTCCTAGCTCCTAGTATCTTAAATTCAGTAAAGATTAAGATGTCCATTTTAGTATTTTCACATATTTGCCTATAACCTTCAAAGCTGAATTGTAGAATTTCTGACCACCCTAAAAAAATATCCATTTTTCTTTGTTTTTAAGGTTTGTTTTGTTGTTATTTGTTTTTTTTTTGTTTTGTTTTTTTGTTTTGTTTTTGAGACAGGGTTTCTCTATATAGCTCTGTTAGTCCTGGAATTTGTTTATAGACAGGGCTGGCCTCAAACTCACAGAGATTCACCTGCCTCTGCTGGAATTAAGGGTGTGTGCCACCATACCCGACAAAATCCCCAGTCGTTAAAGTGGCTGAGACCATGCCTGTGGCTCAGCTCTTCCTGCCTGGGTAGACAGCGGGGATCAGGTCTACTAGAAAGTGGTGGTTTTGAAATACCAGTTTCTGGGCTGTGCCGCCATCGCAATCTCTGTCTGACTCTTGACATGAGACAGAAACTCTGGGTTTTTCTCTTTAACAACAGACTTGGAATTAGAGAGGGACTGAGCCAGAGTCCAACTCCAAAACCAGCTCTATATACTTATGAATATAAATAAACAAAAAATATTTGTAAACATTATTACTTACGGAACCTATTCGATTTTCTTGGTAATCCATATTGGGTAGTAATTTTTTCCATCTGTCAGTATTCAAATATCCAGGGTCCCTTGAATTTTTGAAGATGAGTGTTGTCCTGCAGGGATAAGAACAGAACCCTGCCCCCATTCTAACCTTCCTCTATCTCTAGTTTCTGACAGTCACTAATCCGCTTTCTAAATTTGCTTTGAATGTGTCTTTTTGAAATGGAATGATGAAAATGTGTCCCTTTGTGTCTAGCTCCTTCCTTTCTCTTTCCATATCCTGCCTCCCTCCCACTAATTTCTTCCTCCTCCTCTCTCTTAATTCATGCTGCCTGTGCACTGCACTGCACTGCGGGAGCCAGCCACTTCCCAGCCCTAGCTCCTTGTCCTTGACTCCAGGGCCCTCCCATGTTGACACCTTGTTCTTCCTTATTGCCAGGTGGATGTGCTGTATTTTATGTAGTCATTGCTTGATACACACTTTTATTCTTTAATAATACTGCTATAGACAGTCATGCATGAGCTTTGATATGAACATCATGTGTTCGCTTCTGCTGGGCTCAAAAGTAGAATTGTTGGATTACATCTGTTTAACTGTTTGAGAAACTCCCAACCCCCTTTCTACATCTTTTTAACCATTTCATGCCAACTAGCAAGTGTGTATAATGGTTCTACTCTTCATAGGATACTACTGACAGTTGTTCATGTCTTATTTTTCATGCCATCTTAGTGGGTGACTAAAGGGTCCCTTGTAGTTTTGTTCTAGGGATGAGGGAAAGTGTACTGGGCATGAAACCAGGTACCGTGAAGATGGCAGACAGGTGCATTCCAGCACATAGTTGCTCTGCTGGTGCTGAACATTGTCCATGAGAGTCTTGCTCTTTGAAGAAATGCCTTTCAGACTCCTTGTCCGTTCTTTTCTATCGGGTTGTTTAATACTGAATGTAGGCTTTGTTCGTACTCGGTACAGCTTATTCATAATACCATGCAAATGCAGTCTCCCCTTCTGTGCGTGCTTTCTTCATTTTATTGATGGCACCACTTAAGGCTCACAGCACTGTAGCTTCCTGCCCACCAAGTCTTTAAATCCTATCGTTGTCTCCCTCTATTTTCCAGACACACCTTTCTCTCTCTCATGACATGGTTTCTCTGTGTAGCTTTTTGGAGCCTCTCCTGCCACTCGCTTTGTAGACCAGGCTAGCTTCAAACTCAGAGATCTGCCTGCCTCTGTGTGTGCCACCACCACCCAGCCAGCCATACTATTTTTATTACTTAAGTGTGGACTGTATTAAGCCTTGCAGTTAGCCCTAACTTCAGACTTCTCCAGGTCACACTCCAATCAGGAAGGGAAATCAGGGCAGGAACTCAAGGCAGGAACCATGGAATACTACTTACTGTATGCTCTGCTAATTGCTTATACAACCCAAGGCTTCCTGCCTAGAGATGGTGCCACCCACAGTAGTCTGGGCCCTCCCACAACAATTAATAATCAAGGCACTTCCCCACACACATGGCCACAGGTCAATCTGATTCAGGTATTTCCTGTTAAGGCTTTCCTCTCAGAGGGCTCTAGGCTGTCTATACAGTTAAGGCAGACTAGGACACTCAGCCTTGCTGGGAGGATGAGGCATTGTTAGTTCTCCATAGTTAGGTGCTGTCAGGACTGTCTGGAGCAGGAAGTGCAGGTGCTGGTCAGGGCAGCATCTCTTCTCCCAGGTTCCATCTCCAGTAGCTCTAATTTCTTAAAGCTCTGGCTCACAGCTCATGCCATTCTCTAGGATTTTGAGTTTATCTCATTTTTCATATCTCTTGGATTATTTCCATAAAAACGTTGCATGTTAGAAGAATGAGAGCCCTATCTCCATGTCTGGTGGCTCCAAACTTCATAGTGCTAAGACCTTGTGACCATATGCTACCCCATCCTGGGTTCTTCTTGTGGTAGTTTCAGGCTTTGCTTGAATGACATGCTGGGCATGTTTGTTCCCACTCATAGATTTTTTTTTTAATTTATTAAAGATTTCTGTCTCTTCCCCACCTCCGCCTCCCCTTTCCCTCCCCCTCCCCCAGTCAAGTCCCCCTCCCTCGTCAGCCCAAAGAGCAATCAGGGCTCTCCGCCCTGTGGGAAGTCCAAGGACCACCCTCCTCCATCCAGGTCTCATAAGGTGAGCATCCAAACTGCCTAGGCTGATTTTTTTAAAGATTTTATTTGTTTGTTTATTGTGCATACAACATTCTGCCTTCATGTCTGCCCACATGCCAGAAGCCCAGATCTCATTACAGATGGTTGTGAGCCACCATGTGGTTGCTGGGAATTGAACTCATGACCTCTGGAATAGCAGCCAGTGCTCTTAACCACTGAGCCATCTCTCCAGCCCCCCCACTCATAGATTATAAACCCCATAAGAATGGTAATGTTAGCTGGGTGGTGGTGGCACATGCCTTTAATCCCAGTACTCAGGAGGTAGAGGCAGGAGGATATCTGAATTTGATTCCAGCCTGGTCTACAGAGTGAGTGCCAGGACAGGCTCCAAAGCTACAGAGAAACCCTGTATTGAGTAGGGGGTACACACCTTTAAGGTAGGCAGATATCTGTAAGTTCCAAGGCCAGCCAGGGCTACACAGAGAAACGCTTTCTCAGAAGAAAAAAAAATAGTAATGATTCTTGATGGTCTTTGATGTTCCCCATATTTTGCATTCAGGGTGTTTTATTGGCTTTTAAGGAATCTTGGAACTGATTTTTTATTTTTTTAGCCAATTGAAACAGCTGCTATATTCTAAACCAGCCTCAGCCACATCTACCCTGACTAAGAGACAAGGACAGTTACCACCTTGACACAGCTAAACAAGCATGGCATGTTTTCTAGTTATTTTTTCCCTTTGTGGTGAGATATGTTATCTTCAGTTAACTGTTGATTATTTAAGGCAGTCTCACTATGTAACCCAAGTGGGCGTCAGGCTCACAGTCATCCTTCCTAGGTTTCCATGCTGGACTTACAGGTGTGTACCCCTTTGTCTGTGCCCAGCTTTTTATTGACTGTGATTTCAGAGGCATGAGTACAGGCAGTGTTTGGCAACCAACACTGTCCTGGTTCCCTTTTGCAGATTTTCAGTCTCCTTGATGAAGGAATTTTAAGATAATCCAGGAAGCTTGAAGAACATTTTAATAGACAGAGGAAGAACAGGATAGGCAGACTGAATCTTGGAGCATGCTGGGGGCGGAGGGACGAATAAGAGAGATGAAGATAGCAGACAGGTTCAGTAATGGAGAACAGCAAGCACTTGTGTGAAGTGGGGTGTCTTCAAAGTAAGGATAAGAAAGCTCCAGATTGGGGCAAGCATGCTTTGGATTTGAGTCAATAGTAGTAAGAGATAGGAAGGTAGAAAACTAGGTAGACCGTTTGAAATTCTCCAAGCTGTGGTTGCATTGGGGGAGGAGCTTCTGGCCTATATATTATTGCTCCTCTCCATCTCCTTAAAGTGTATCAGCTTTCCTGAGGGGTGATCTGGTAAGCCCAGTTGGATTAAGGAAAGGACAGTACTGTGTAATGTTTAGAATGGCTTGTATCCACTGGTGGGAACTGGTCCCCCCCCCTCCCTTTCTATTCTGTTCTTGAAACAGGTTTCTCTGTGTAATCTGCCTCAGCCTTCCAAATGCCTGAGATTAAAGGCTTGCACCAACGCACCCACCCAACATGTTCTTTTTTTTTTTTTTTTTTTTGGATCAAGAGGTAGTAACTTTTTCTTAATGGGCCTCAACCAAGCCCTGATAACCCCATCTTCCTCCCTTTCATATGGCATCTGTGATGCTTTCCTGTCTCAAAATCCGTGTTACCAGGGAAATGGGAGATGGGGGTCCAGAGCTGATCTTAAGGGAAGTCTGTCTTCAAGCATCAATTTCTTATTCACAGAACAGCTGCTATAATATTCTACTCCTGGTTTCTAGTTTAACACTGTCCTCCTGCTTTCTGGAAGAAATACCCAAGAGCCTCTCCACCCAGATACCCCCAGCTCAGACTGCACTTTTGGAATTTACATAGACACCTGTCAGCCATGCAAATGCATGGTCTGTATTTCCTTTACAAACTAGAACACCTGCCTGGAAGTAGTGAAGCCCCCTTTAAACCCAGCCCTCAGGAGGCAGAGTCAGCTGGATCTCTGAGTTTGAGGCCAGCCTGGTCTACAGAGCCAGTTCCTGGGGCTGCACAGAGAAACCTGTCTCAGAAAAATAACAAAACTTAGAACACATCTAAACAGTTTGTTTTATGTTCATTTTTATTTTAAGCTATTATGAAATGTTTTAGGATGTATAAAACCATAAGTTAATGTCTTGTCCAAAAAGCACTGTCTTATCTAAAGATTATTAATGACTGGTCCAGCATTCTGATCTCCTTGGAGTAGACAGGGTGATATGAGAAGCCTGTGGGGAAAAAACTATAGGCTTTGGATTTAACATTGACCTGGATTCATCTCTCCACTTAGTTAAAACAAGCTTTTAACTTTGGGAAAATTGCTTAAAATAACTGAACTTAAGAACATCAAGCCCTGCATTTGCCAAATAGTTTTAAGTAGAGGACTGACCTGGAGCTCAGTGACAGCCCACTCACCCAGCACAAAATCAGCCCTGGGAGAACAGGAAGAAAGGAGGAAGAGCCAGGTGTGGTGGTGCACACCTTTAGTTCCAGCAATCAAGAGGTAGAGGCAGGCAGAGTTTGAAACCAGCCTGGTTTACATAGTTGGGGGAGGAGGCTGGACACCAAAGCAAAACTGCATGGAAAACCGCATTTGACATAGAGTAATATATTTTTGTTTTGTTTTTTAGACAGGATTTCTTTGTGTAACAGTTCTGGCTGTCCTGGAACTAGGTCTGAGATCAGGCTACCCTTGAACTCACAGAGATCCTCCTGCCTCTGCTCCAAGTGCTGGGATTAAAGACATGTGCCACACCCAGCTCCACATTAAGAGCACCTCAGTTTCTTCACTTGTCATTGCTCCTGTCACTCTAGAATGACTTCTGAGGACTCACAGGATGATACAGGGTTATAAGGAAGATGTTTAAGAACTATTTTAAGAGCCGGGCAATGGTGGTGCACGCCTTTAATCCCAGCACTTGGGAGGCAGAGGCAGGCGGATCTCTGTGAGCTCGAGACCAGCCTGGTCTACAAGAGCTAGTTCCAGGACAGGCTCCAAAGCCACAGAGAAACTCTGTCTCGAAAAACCAAAAAAAAAAAAAAAAGAATTATTTTAAGAGATGGTTCAATTGGTAAACTGTCCAGCAGACATGCGGACCCCAAGAGTGACCTGTATTCAGCCTGTAGTGTTTCCTAGTGCTAAAAGACCAGTCATAGAATTTCCCCGATTCTGTCTCCAGCACCATCTCCCTCAGTTCTTCCCTGAACTCCAAACCAGTTGTCTCTTTCTTTGTGTCTGTTTTGTGTCTGTGTGTACACACGTGTGCGTGCTTGTGTGTAGAAATGCCTTAGTTGAGACAGGTCCTTTTACTGAACCTGGTGCTAACTGGCTAGACTGACTGGCCCCAGAGCTGAGGAGGGTCATCCTCCTGCCCTCACCCTGCTGTGTTAGGGGTTACAGTCATCAGCTGCTAGGCTCATCTTTTTTCTTGGGTCCCGGGGAGCCAAACACTTATCCTCATGCTCATGGGTCTGCGACTGTTCATCTCTGTCTGGAGAACCTTTGCAGAGGCATTTCCGTCTTCCCACAGTTCAGTTCTTCACTCCTCTTTTCCTTTGGAGTGTGCGTGGAGATGGAACCCAGAGACATACATGCTAAGCAAGCATTCTGTCTCCTCTCTCTCCGCAGCTGCACCCCAACCCCCACCCATAGTCTTGTTCCTCCTTGGCCCTTCCCACAGTCCTGTTGTCGTCCCCCCTCCCCATAAATGAAAGTCAAGGATTACAAATGAGTTGTTTTGATAAGAATGTGTTTGTTTTTATTAGAAATACTTACTTTGTTTTGCTTAGGGGATTTATATGCTCACAGATGTATTCACTGTGAATTCTGCCTCCTCACCCACAGATGGACAAAATGGCAAGCTGTAGAGATGGTAGCTGGTTCTTCCTTTTGGCACTCTTGAACCTACAGACCTATCTCAGGATTGACTTCTGTGGATGAGTGCCCAAAGGCTAGAGGACTTGATGGAATCTGGGACCCGTCTTAGTGTGCTGTGCGATGGCTAGATGGGCTTCTTTGGCGCTGGAGTTGGTGCTAACGTTTCTTTCTCTTGCAGCACTGAACAGAATTGGTGATGAAATGGAGCCTGGAACAAACTCTTTTCGAGTAGAGTTTCCAGATTTTTCCAGTACCATTCTTCAGAAACTAAACCAGCAGCGACAACAAGGACAGTTATGTGACGTCTCCATTGTAGTCCAAGGCCACATTTTCCGGGCACACAAAGCCGTTCTTGCTGCCAGTTCACCCTACTTTTGTGACCAAGTACTCCTAAAAAACAGTAGGAGAATTGTTTTGCCTGATGTGATGAACCCAAGAGTGTTTGAGAACATTCTTCTATCTAGCTACACAGGACGCCTTGTGATGCCTGCTCCAGAAATTGTTAGTTACTTAACAGCAGCCAGCTTCCTGCAGATGTGGCATGTGGTGGACAAGTGCACTGAGGTTCTGGAGGGAAACCCCACAGTTCTGTGTCAGAAACTAAATCATGGCATTGACCACCAGTCTCCCAGTAGCAGTAACTACAATGGCCTGGTAGAGAGCTTTGAGCTGGGCTCTGCGGGGCATACTGACTTCCCCAAAGCACAGGAACTGAGGGATGGTGAGAATGAAGAGGAAAGCACCAAAGATGAGCTGTCATCTCAGCTCACTGAGCAAGAGTACTTGCCCAGTAACTCGTCCACAGAGCATGACCGACTGAGCACCGAGATGGCAAGCCAGGATGGGGAGGAGGGGGCCAGCGACAGCGCTGAGTTCCACTACACCCGGCCTCTGTACAGCAAGCCCAGCATAATGGCTCACAAACGCTGGATCCACGTGAAGCCTGAGCGCCTGGAACAGGCGTGTGAGGGCATGGATGTCCATGCGGCCTATGACGAGCACCAGGTCACCGAGTCCATTAACACCATGCAGACAGAGCACTTGGTCCAGCCTTCAGGAGTGGAGGAAGACTTCCAGGTTGTGGAGAAGAAAGTGGAAGCAGAGTTTGATGAGCAAGCAGAAGAGAGCAACTATGACGAACAGGTGGACTTCTATGGCTCCTCCATGGAAGAGTTTTCTGGAGAAAGGTTGGATGGGAACCTAATTGGGCATAGACAGGAGGCTGCCCTCGCAGCCGGCTACAGTGAGAATATTGAAATGGTGACGGGGATAAAAGAAGAGGCGTCCCACTTAGGATTCTCAGCCACTGACAAGCTGTATCCTTGTCAGTGTGGGAAAAGTTTCACACACAAGAGTCAGCGAGATCGACACATGAGCATGCACCTCGGTCTTCGCCCTTATGGCTGTGGTGTCTGTGGTAAGAAATTCAAAATGAAGCACCATCTCGTGGGTCACATGAAAATTCATACAGGCATAAAGCCCTACGAATGTAATATCTGTGCAAAGAGATTTATGTGGAGGGACAGTTTCCACAGGCATGTGACTTCTTGTACCAAGTCCTATGAAGCTGCAAAGGCTGAGCAGAATACAACTGAGGCTAACTAAAAATAGGGTCTGGCCCTTGAGTGGCATGCACAAAAATAAACTATGGTAATTAATGCAAATCTGGGCACAGATGATGCGTGCCACTTGCTATTATGAGAGAAGCTTAAAAAGAAAAAAAAGGAAGATATTTCTGAAAGACCAGCTCTAAGTAGGCCAATTAAAAAAATTTAATTCCTCAAATTTATATGTTCTGGTCCTGGTCTAGAATGGATGATGGGGATAAGTTCACCCAGTGCCCAGCTGGCAAGACAGCCTTTCCAGCTAGCAGTGACTGAGGCAGTGGACTTGGTGGCAGACTAACCCACCAGTGCACTCAGGTGGTAGCAGTTTTCTATCATGCAGTGCCCTGGGGTCAGGGTGCTGCAGGGTGCTGCTCCTGGTGGCTGCAGAGTTGTGAGGCTTTGCGTTGGTAGTGCATCACTGGATGCTACTCTACTCGAGACTACAGCAGCCTGACTCCTGGGCTGAGATGTGAACAGAGCTCTTTCATGTCTAGTTTCATGCTTTCTAAAGTTCTAGCTGAAACTATGGTGATGTTAGATAGACCTGAGTCCAAAACAGGTGACATGGCTCCTGTCATAGTGCTGCAGACTCTTGACAAAGCACGATTGTGTGTTTAGTTCTAATTGGGGGTGAACCATTGTGTCTCCTTTTAAGTCTATGGGTGACAGAGATAGGTGTTTCTAGTTGGTTTGTAACCCTAAGCTTCCTCATTTAATGGTAGCATCCGGGCTAGACTTCCAGCCTGCAGTGACTCAACACAGTACTGGCAGTGTCCTGTGGCCCCCTGCCTTAGATCATGGTGCTTCCCAACAAGGGTTAGCCAGGGATGCATGACTAAGAGTTACCTGTGAGCGGGACACTCCCATGCTCAGAGTGAGAGAGAGTGTTGGCAGAGGCAGCAACTTATAAACAGAAGGCTATACTTGAGAAAAGTCTCAAAAATACACTGGTCTGGGGGATGTGGTTTTAGAGGGTACACTGAACAACACTGTCACTCAGCTCCTTATGAGACCAGGAATGTGAGTTCAAAGTGGGAAGAGAGTCCTACCTTGAGCAACGTCATCTAACAGATGATGTTCCGTAGTCGGAGAGAAAGCTGTACACATCCAAGTCCCAGTAGCTTATACCCGCTCAGGGAAGAAAGGCCGCTCACCCTGCATGGCCTGATCTGCCTGGAGTTGGAAAGAAGTCTTGTGTTTAAGCATGTGATAGGCCTGAGGCTCTTACTGGGTTGTCTAGTGTGCTTTTCTTGACTAGGATAGCATTCTGACCAAAGGCAGCTCAGGGGAGAAAGGGTCTTTGTCAGCTTACACTACCACGTCACAATCCATTCCTGACGGATTTTCAGCAGGAACTTGAATATTGACAGGCAAGACTATCAACCACAGATGTGCCCACAGGTTGCTCTGATTTGGGCAATCCCTCAACTGAGACCCCCTTCCCAGATAACTAGGCCACGTTAAATTGTCAGAGCAAGCTAGACAACAGGGCAGGGTGTTGCTCCTATGTCATCTATTATTATTGCTAAGTAGAAACTTCTTTTTCTTAAAATAAAAATTATTTTTCTTGGCTTTGGGGTGAAATTTTGTTTTTAAAGTTTGTCTTTCTCTAATGTGACAGACATTTCTGGCAAGGGTTTCTGATCATAAGGCTTCTGACACCTTTGACCTTTGTTTGAAAAGGGGAAAGAAAATTGGGACTGCCAGTAAATGCTTATGATCAAGATTGTGAAACAGGGATCTATTTATGAACACTGTATCAATCTTGGTATACAAAAGCACTTTGTATTTAAAACTTTGTTATAAGTATAGGTGTAGTTGGTTTTTTTTTTTTTTTAACCTAGAAACTAGATAATTACCTCTTAGTGGTTTGGTACGTTCAGATGATCTCCCATCTCCCAGGGTGGAAATCTGCCAGTCAGCGGTGGTCCTCTGTGGTCCTAAGAAGTGCATGGAGGGGACTGTACAGTCAGCTCACACTTGCCTCCTAGTCTCACGGAGAGGCCAGTGGGTTTAGGGATGACCCTGAGATGTGTGAGGATGAAGTCTTTGCAGCGAACCATTCTGTAGTCAGGAGCTGCTCCCACCCCTGCATGCATGGTGACAAAGCTTTTCAGCTGGAGTGGGGCAGACCCTGTGAATAGGTAGGGTGTCCTAGGTCCAGGAGGCAGAGAAGTAACCATAGTCTAGGCATTAATTAAATTGAGGCTTCTGACCTGCCTTTCCCATCAGGGGTCCTTCCTAGCACCCGGCTGTGCTGTGGTGCTGGTCTCCTCACCACTGCCTTAGGAAAGCCCCGCCCTTCCAGACAAGCTTGAATAGTTGTGGACAACACTGTCCCGCGTTCAGGGACTTCACAGTGGCCCACCAGTAAGGTGTTTGTTATCTACTTTGAGCCTTGACTTCTCCAGTCCTTATAGGAAAGGGCTTCCAGGCCCCCCTGGTTGCATTTCACAATCTGCATGCACACGCACCATGCCTTCATTCTTGGATGCACACGTCAGTGAGCTGCACGGTCCAGCTCCTCATGTGCCCTTGTTCTGAGCCCTGGCCCATTGCCTGGGATTTCTAGAGCTCACCTTCTCTGGCCTGGTTCTTAAACCTGCCCTAAAGGATTCCCTCCATTGCAGGGGCGTTTACTGAACTACTCTGACCCTGAACCGGCTTCTGGCTACGCTACAAAGGGTGGCACACCCTGAGCTGGTGTTGAAGGGAAGGTGAGGAACAAAGGCTGTGCTGCATTCTGGGAAATGTGTGCTGCTGCAGGGTCCCCAGGGTCGGGCTGAAGCTTTGCCTCTCCCACTGTGGGAATGCTGGGGACCAAGGGCAGGGTTGCCCTTGGCCTCCTGTGCTTTAGGTTGCTTTGGTAACTAACACTATCTAATAAATCCAGGGTTGCTTTGGGTTTTTTCTTTTTTTCTCTGCCATTTACATATTTAAAGGTACTAGTTTCTAATTGCAAATCTCTACTGACAGCACCCTGTGGGAACATGCTGGAACACCTTTGCAAATGTGATTTTTTTCTTTTTAAATGTTGCTTGAAGCCTGTGTCATGTCAGTTGCTGCTGCCTCTTTTCTTTTTATGAGGTTCCCAATGTTTCTTCCAGAAAGTTACTTTATTTATGCAAGTCAGGTGACTCTTAGGCCACAGAACCGTGGGGTGATAAGCAGATTGTCATTAGGTGCATATCATGGATACTTGTGAACGCCTGTGTTGCAGAAGTTAAATAGTTCTTTCTAGAATTGCTGTCCTCAGTGTACAGCGTGGTTTTAACTGAATGTTACTGTTTAATATTTTCTTCTTATAGAAGAGACCATGCCCTTTTGTATGACACGTTTTAATAAATGTTACCTGTCCATTTTGTACAAAGTTGCGTCTTGTTTTTCACTTTGGTTCTGCCTTTTGTAGCCTGAGATTAAAGTTGTGTCATCACCTTTCTATAAGTAAAGACCACGTAGGCTGCTGGCTGGCAAGAGCAGTGAGTGACGGGTCTCAGTGTGGGTGCTGATCCTTATCTCATACAAACCCACCTGCCAGGAGGGTCAGGTGTTTAGCATTTACTCTGCAGGATTTTCTGAGTGCTCCCTGGCTCCCTCCTCCCCTGGGGAGAGGCTGGCTGACCTCTGGGTTCTGCCTTGGCTCCTGGAAGCCATTAGAGATACTGGGCTGGGAGGACCGCTGGCGAGGTTGAGGGATTTGCAGCTGGCTGCCTCTAGGTGCAGGCTGGCAGTGACCAGGCTCCTCTTGCTCCAGACAGCTGAGGCTTGGAGCCACCACACCCTCTCCTCCTCCTGTCAAGCTCAGTATTGCTCCTGTCTCCCTGCCTTATCCCAGCTCTCAGGTACTAGGACCCCTGCTGATAGCTCAGGCGTCCTCATCTCACGGGACTGCTGTTGTACAGCACAGTGGAGCCAGAATTCCAGAGCAGGCCGGTTGGGTGCCGCACACACTGGCGGGCTCCTCTGCTCCTTGATGTCCCCAGGTGCCTCAGTCAGGTCCTTGCCTCACTTTGCTTTGCCCTCTCCCCAAAAAGCCAGGCCTGGAAAGGCAGCAGCCTTCTTCAGAGGCCCCCACTTCCTAACAACAGCTCATTACCAGAGACACTGCTTGTTTTAGACCAAACTTAACCATCTTCCCACACAAACCTTCTGTTACCACTGTTTGTTGTGAACCACCCCCCCCCCTTGCTGATTTTTGAAGCCAGCTCCAGATTGCCTACACTCACTTAGCGTTCTCTAGGTGGGGAGAGCCCCCAGAAGACCTTGTCTATCCTTTTTTTGAGTTGAGGCCTATGTGTTCTGACCACAGGCAAACTGCACCGTGTCTCTGCCATGGTGAGCCCCTCTGATCTCCTTGCTGCCCTTCCTTGAGATCCTGGTGGACAGTGCAGCAGGAACCACCTAAGAAGTACTCACACTGCATATCACCCCCACCCCAGGGTGGGGACCACGGGGCTGCAGACGGCAGCACGTGTGCACGAGGAGATGGGGTGGGACAAATGGGAACAGAAGGAGGTGGGCTGTGAAGGGTGTTACCCAGATGGAGCGGACAGCACCTGTGCGGGTTTATTTAGCTTCTTTCCTAGTCGGCTCCGTGCTGCCTCCCATCCAGCCACCAAAGTATTCCTCGAGACAGTCGTGGTGTCTGGAAGGTCCACACAGCCCCATAGACCAGGGGTCAGTCAGCAGCTGGAAATGAGGTAAGCTCAACCATATGTGGTAAATGAAGGAAAAGGCCGCTCACGTGTTCTTAAACTGCTGGGCGTGTTCTCAGTGGCAGGGTGCTTACTTAGCATGACAGGTCTGGGTTCCATGCTCAGCCCTGCAAAATTAAACAGCAAAAGTCCGTTTGAGTGAAAGTGAGCAGGCTGACCCTTTCCCGAAAAGCCACAGAGGTCAATGAGGCGTGGGAGAAACCTCTGCGACTTTCTTTGAACTAGTTGGTTTAGTTTGAGTCAAAATGGAACAATTTGAGTTTCAAATCTTTTTTTTTTTTTTTTTTTTTTTTTTTGGTTTTTTGAGACGTGTTTTTCTGTAGTTGTTTTAGAGCCTGGAACTAGCTCTTGTAGACCAGACCAGGCTGGCCTCGAACTCATAGAGATCCGCCTGCCTTTGCCTCCTGGGCTTGAGTTTCAAATCTTGAACCACCTTTAATTTCTTCCAAGCCGCTGATGGGCCAGCTGAGCCTTGCCCATCGCAGCAGGGGTGGAGTTGTCCTGTGTGGAGAAGCACTCAGCAATGCCATAGGTAAATGCACAGTTTTAAAATAATGACTCTTCACCTAGGCTCAAGTGATTATGAGTTCAGGTTGTTTTTTTCTTCCTCAATACTCCAAAATAAGCCAGTAGCAAAGCTGGTAAGTATATTTATAACCTAATAAGATAGTAGTTACTCCCCAGAGGACTCTGGCCTGCCAAATAGTGCAGCTAACCTTGATGTATGGAAGCTAACAGCTCCCTCCAGAACTGCCCATCCTGTTAATTTGGGGTCAGCAATGCTGTGATAAAATTTCACTTATCAGGGTTCACAAAAAAGACCCTCAGCCGTTGGGTAGTCCGTCCGGTCAGGATGGATAGATGTTGGATCTGTAACAGGCTAACGGTCCCTCAAGACAGAGGCTGGCCTTAAATTCTCAAAGCCACTTGCTCCTGAATGCTGACTACAGGTATGTGCCACCATGCCTGGCTCTTGGAATTTTTTTTTCATGACTTCTCAACCCACTGAATACCATCACCACTTTGTCCTAAGAGCATCGAGGCTGCTGAAAAAAAGCTTTAAGCCTTTTCCACATGGGGACATGATTTAGTGGTAGATTACTTGCCTAGCCAGCACCAAGATGAAACTTAAAAAAGGTCAAATTTGTAAAGGTGATCCAGGCTTAGCAGAACACTGAAGCCAGGCTCCAGCACTGGGCAGTGTGACCTAAGCTGCATTACCCTCCTGTGCTGGTGTAGTGGGTGGCAGTGGGTCCTCCTTAAATTGCTGAACTCTGCCATCCAAGAAGTAAGACTTCAGACATCAGCAGCCCGTTCCCTTTCAGCTTAATCTCCAGGGCTCCTTCGCCGCTAGCTCACTCCTTTCACTAGGACCAGCAAAGCACCACTCTGTAAAAAGACCCTTCACGGACTGGATCTCCACTCTTGTGCCAGCCTTGCAAGGCAGGACACTAACTTGGAGAGAATAAGAACCAGCTAGCTTAGCCTGGCCCCGGACTGGGAAGGTAGCCCAGGCAGTAAAGTGCTTGCTGTGTAAGCATGAGGACCTGAGTCTGAGCTCAGCACCTATGAGGAGGCTGGGCATGGTGGTCTGTCTGTAGTCCAGTGCTGGGATGCAGAGGCAGGAGCTGTGGGCTTGCTGACCGACAAGCCTAGCCATCTACACCGTGTGTCCTGCCTCAAGGAATATGGTGGAGATAGAGAGGTGGCTCAACTAGTAAAGGCACTTGCCACCAAGTTTGAGGACTTGAGTCCAATCCTCATGATGGAAGGAGAGACCCAACTATTTCCTGCAAGTTGTCAGTTGTCTTCTGACCTGTGAGCAGTGACACCATACACACACGTGCATGTGAGCGTGCGCGCACACACATGCACACGTGCACACACACACGCACACACACACACATAAAGAAAGGAAACAAGGTGGAAGGCCCCTGAAGAACACCATCTGCAATTGGCCTCTGACTTCTGCAAGCACCTGCATTCCAGATTGCATGCACACACAAGCCCC